CCTATTTAAGGAGCTACGAATTGAAGTAAAGCATTCAGTTTTCCAGTCAAGAAAAGAGTGAGGAGAGTTCGGGTGGTCTCTTGGACAAATCACCCTAAGGGAGAGTTTGGGTGGTCTCTTGGACAAATCACCCATTCAGTTTCCACAATAAGGTCTGTACGCAAGGGAAGGCGCAAGGGAAAGCAGGGTTTTCTCACCGTGGACCGACCCGTGACGAGATCCTACACGCGGGACCATAACACCCTGGTAGGGAACTATCAGCAGCCTCTCTGGCAAATACAAGAGAAGGGGGAGAGGAAAAGTGGAATCGAGAGAAAGAGAGGGAGAGGGAGAGGAAGAAGAAAAGAAAAGCAAAACAAGGAGGAGGTATTGATGAGTTTGAATCCGTGCAGGGGCAGTGATCAAACAGGGGAAGGGAACGAGAGAGAAGGGGAAGAAGGAGGGAGGGAGAGAGAGAGATGGAAGTGGAGGGGGTTATTGCTGCCGCTAGTTCATAGTCGCGAGGATGTTCACAGTCGGGAGTTATCACTGGTTGCCTTCACCATTCTTCACTAGCCATGAAGACCAAATTGTCCTCACTGTCGTTCTTCGCCAACCACGATGACGAACATATCCGTTCTTCACCGCTGTTCTAGAACGAGGACATGATGTTTGTTGTCCCCGAGCTATTGGAAGAAGACCACAAGGTCCACGTCGCAAACACCCTGAATCTGCTCTTCAGTCACCAACAAACTTCCCCCACCTGCGGCGATGACAAAACTGCTCTAGTCCACCTCGTTCAAACACGGCATCGATCCAACTGTTATCAAAGCCCTAGCTAACACCGGAACCAACATCGACATTGGCACAGCGAACAACATACCCTTGTTGGCCTCTGACCCCAACTTCAGGAAGGAGTGGGTCTGTTGGAATCTCATCGCCTGCTTAGAGGTGGAGTTTCTCCCAACAGAACCTCAGCCCCATTCAGAAAGGTGTACGTGAGTAACGTGAGGCCGGAATTCAGTTAATCGGAAGCTCGGGTTGATTGTAGTCTTCCAGAATTAATTCATAACGTTCATCTAAGGTATAAAAAAAAGGATAATATTGGGTTTTGAAAAACTTTTATAGGTCACGTGGGGTCACATGTGTATGAATTGTGATGGAATATTATGATAGGGGTAGAGGTAGTCAATTGTAAAAAAATTTAGGGATAATTTAAAACGGATCCTTTGGCCACGTGTCTCATGAAACTTAGGGGTACTCTAAGAGGTAGTCAATCCTTTAATGGCCAGAGGTAGTCAATTGTTTCTTTTTAAGACGAAGTTTCTTTTCGTCTAAAGATTCTCGTCTAAAGATTCTCATAATAGACATATGCTCCTTCCCTTCGCAGGTCTCCTGTATTGACATTACACGGGTGACATTAAAACTAGTTTGACATATCCTGCTTAATCCTACTAGATGTCCTACTACGAGCGACTTTAATTGATGTTTTAGTTGATGGTATTTTCATCCATTGCAAGTCTATGATGGTCTCGAACTCATCTCAGTTCATGAAGAGTTATGAACTCATTGCGGATCCACATCGGCTTGAATGTCATTGTGGGTGTTTTTGTGGTTCCATTTAGTAACTTCATTGCCATTGCCATCGCAGTCGGGGTGAACATGTACTTACACCGACATATGCTTCAAAACCCAGGATAGGAATACGATGATGATGGTCTATTGACATAAGGAAAAGACAAAAAGTCTGCCCATTTCATTCCTGGTCTTTCTGTTTGTGTCCTTTGCTTTTCTGATTGTTTGATCAATCCGAGCATGGATCGACGAATTTCGCCATTTATGGCTTCAAAAAACAAAATCAGAAAAAGATAAATAACATAACCTACTTGTATTCTTATATATCTTTCAAAGGCTATTCAAACGTCTTCGGGTAAAATCTCAAATAGACACTGCAAAGAAAAAGCAATTTTATTTTAAATATAAGGTAAATATAAAAAAAAAGGATGTACGTGATCTTGAGGCTCCTATGCAATTACTGTTTGTTCTGATGGTTTTGGGATGGACTGCCATCCCGTACAAATGTGGAGGACCTCTTTCAGAGCATCTGAAGGAGCTTCCATTGTCCATGTTGGGTAGTATTCGCTTGGATGGAACATGCTTTCCACAGCTGTCTCGGTCAATAAACAAGCTTGAGCTCCATTCAGGAAAATGTCACCCTCAGATCTTATACAACCAGACCTCTCCTGTTCCCTGTCTGCAGCCTACATAACCAGCATGATAAACCACCATTTCAGTCCATGTAACTACATGTTTTTTTTTTTTTTCGGGGGGGGGGGGATCATTAACAAGCTTGAAACAAGAACTTCGTTCAACTGGGAATCAAGTGCAATATCAACAGTTTGATCACCCATCCACCAACACAAACATATTAACAGACCTTGGAACAGCAAACAGAAGCATTAATGTTTTTCGTTCATCTAACAAGAGTTGGTCTGGGAAATTTTTCAAGTAGATGGGCCATTCTGAGAATCCCATGTCCAGGACAAAATGGACCAGTACTAATTGAAAAGATAAAAACATAGGATTGTTTTGTAGTTCCTCAAAGTGGAACATTATCATTGCAGCACAGTTTCTACTAGCGCTTTTTTTTTGGACAAGCATTTCTACTAGCAAATTTGATATTATCAACTTCAATAATTGAAAACGCACATACTAAAACATTCTCATGGCTTCAATAAAGGATATGGTTTTATTTTATCAAAACTAATGAAGGATATGATAAGTGAATAAAGTCAAACACAAAATTCCGGTCCTCTAAAGTGGGAGAGAATACTAAAGATATGGCTACAAACCATCTTCTACTGGCCACCAACCAGCTTCCCTAATAAAAATATATAACCTAACAAACGCAAAGGCGAGACAATAACAGTGGGATAGTGCAAACATAGAAGATCTAGCCTTGGCATTGGGCTGCAAATTAGGCAGATTGGCTTTCAAATACTTTGACCTATAACTGGAAACAAGGTGCATCTCCAAATTCAGGATCCCATGATCTAACAGATAGAAAGAGTATAGCCTCATTAAAGCGAGTTTCCAGTCAAGGGAGGTACTCTCATTCATATCAAAATCAGGCTAGCAAATCCACCCAGGCACCTACATACTTCCTCTGTTTCCATTCACAAATAAAACAGCACACACCTTGGAAAAACTCTCATTGTATTTGCTTTGGCAAGAGTGAAGAGATGATTTCCCATTCTACTCAGTGCATTGGGACAAAGTTTATCCTGAAGGCTATAGGTGGTATTAGGGTTGAAGCATCTTTAAATGGTGTTAAGACTTCTCTGCATGGAAAATGGTGTGAAGGCACAACAAGAACTAGACAGTCTTCAGAGATAAGCTAGGGTTGCCAAATATAGAATGGCATGCATTATATGCAAGGTTCAAAGTATCGGAAACTTCAAGTGTATCGAAAAGGCAATTTTAAGAGATGCATCGGGATACGCCTTGGATATGCATGTGTATCGGAGAAAAACTAAGATACGCTTGGAAACAATATAAATACTTTAATAAATCACAAAAATGCATCAACAGCACTAAATATAAGACCTCAATGAGGTGTATATACATTAAACTAATATATTTTAATGGTTTTATGAACAAATATATTATAGCTAATTATAATTTCATTAAAAATCCTATGCTTAACTATAATTTATAAATTATAATTCTTAAGTTTTAATGTTTTATGGGATGAGAAAAAACCCAACTCTCCTATCCAACCATAAAACATGCATTGACACAACTTCTAAGTGAAAATATAATTAATAATTATTTATTGTTTAAATAATTATTACTTATTATTCATTTCCAAAAATTATAAAAAATAAATAAACATTATATAATATATTCAAAAAACAGTTATTAAATAAGAAATTTCAATTGCTTTGTGGATATGATAGATTATCCATAGAATTATAATATATTCAAGGGAGAATGACTAATCAGCCCAGATCAGAATTTTATAGCCCCATAGTACAGGGGGAATGCATCCTGACCGTGAATTGATGCCAAATTCATGGGTAGGATGTGGTTTATAGGGGGGGAGAGGGCTAGTAGTAGGGGGGCTGGAATTCAGAATTCTGCATTGGGTGTTTCCGTACTTCTCCGTATATTCAATCATTGTGATCAAATGATAAAATATAATTAATTATTTATTTATTCTTTAGTTCTAAAGAAATAATTATTAAAGAAGAAATTTCAATTGGTCTATGAATATGATAGATCATCCATAGAATTATAATATATTCAATTGTTGTGATCAAATGATAAAATATAATTAATTATTATTTATTTTTTTAATTCTAAAAATATAAAAAATCAAAAAAATATTAAAGGAGAAATTTCAATTGCTCTATGGATATGATAGATAAATCCATAGATCTAAAACATATTTAGTCTTTATAGGCACAAAAAAATTGTGATTTTGAATGTAAGAAATGTAGATCACCATAAGTTTAAACATTCAAGAAAAAAAAAAAAAGAAATCACAAGAAATTATAAAAGATTGAAAAGAAATTACTTATTTTTCCATATTTTTTCAAAATTTGAAAAATCATTAAAAAAAATTAACGATTCACACTTGTTTCTTGCAAACTTTTGCAAATCTAGCACTCTAGGAATGAAGTTTGGAGTTTTAGAGTCATTTGGGGGTGAAAAAAGGCTTATTTCGGGGAAAAGAAGCTTGCTTTCCCCCTTTAATTTTTTTTTTAGTTTTTGGCCGTATCTTTTTCATCGATACGCTACTAATACGTCCTAATACACCCCCGATACACCCCTGATACGCCCTCAATACGGGTCCGGTATGCATGAAAAAAGACGAAACGTCTAATTTCCATGCATATCTTGTATCGGTTTTTCAAAGATACGATATGGGAGCAGTGATTTAAAAGGTGGGCCCCTCAAGCCTAGGTGCACAGGCGAGGCGCATTTTCGGGTATGCACCTCGCCCAGGTCTTGGTTGCACCCCTTTCAAAAGGCACACACCTAGGCTGAGGCGCAAGGCGCATCAGGCGCACCCGGCGTGCGCCTTTTTTAAAATTTTGCACTTTTGGATTTTTTTTTTGAGTCTAACAGCTCGGTCGGGGGCTCTGCCCCCTAGATCCCCGACCACACCCCTCAAGGCAAGCCCGAACAAGTCTATGTTAGGGTCTGAAATCCGAGAACCCCTATTTGCTAATGTTGTTCATTCATTCATTGCAATAAAAAATCTTCTTATAAGGCAATGAAAGTTTTAAAATCATTATATTTTATATGAGAAAAAGGAATTTCAGACCCTAACATAGACTTGTTCGGGCTTGCCTCGAGGGGCATGGTACAAAGGAAACTCATAGAATCAAGAATGCAATATGTTTTACATCACATTAAGGAGAAAAAGAGATTGTGGGTTTTACATGCTTGAAAATGCTTTATAGGTTTGCTTTTATTTTTTAATTTTCATTTGAATACGCTTTACATGTTATGTTTATGTATTTTAATTTTAGATAATAGGTTTTTAAAACATTTATTTTAAAATTTAAGTTTATATTTTTTATTAACATTATGTTTAATGTTTTTTTAATTTTTTGCATTTTTTTTTGAATTTTCTGACTTTTTTTTATTTTTAGCTTTTTTTTGTAATTTTGCGCCTTGCTTAAAAGGGTGCGTGCCTCACCTTACGCCTTGCACCTCAGGCACAAATTGGCCCTTGCGCTTTTAAAACACTGTATGGGAGGGACAGGGGTACAATTCACCTATGATTATGTAGTATGGACAGGAATCCAGAAAGCAAAAGAATACTTCATCAAAGAAATTGACTATGAACTAGTAAATGGCTCTAGATCGAATTCTTGACTTCTTAATAACAATTCCCCTGCTTGCATGCAATATTTTGCAAAATAATGGTGTGGACCCTTATATTCAGAAGAGACCTGAACAAGTGAGAAATAAATGAAATGGAAACCTGATCAGGCCTGCTAATGCTAATTCAAGGATGTGGTTGTGGAACACATTGGAGGAGTTCACCGCCTGGCCTTTTTTCAAAAACATATCCATGCTGGAGGGAGCAAATTTCCCTAGTCAATAGATATGAGAAACACTTGCCTCATCTGAAGTGGCATTTATGGTCTAAACAGCCTTGGGAAAATGCCTCAGCAAGGATGATATGTAGATCAACCAAACATGGAGTCATGGACCACGTGTTGTATCAAGAAATTGAGGGGGCAATACAAGCCATCTATTCATATCAAGGTTCAAAATTTCGATACGATGCACCCTGTATCGGGCGCATTGTATCATATTGGGAGCTGCCCAAAACCCCAAATAAGGGGTGCTTCGGACTTTGATCATTTTCAGGGGGTAGGCATGCTTAAAACTGAACCCCTGATGCAATTTTGAAAAAAAAAAAAAACTAAAAAGGCAAAGTTATTAAGTAGTGAAACACCCAATACACCTATTCATGCGTATTGGGTGTATCAATACTTTAAACCATGATTCATATACAAGGGACCACTGCTTGGGATAATAGTAAAATCTCAAGCTGACAAAAAATCTCAGGCTGACAGATAGCAGGGACTTACATTGGGTAATGGCACAATTTCATCAACTCATATATTTTAACTTCAGCAAAGTGTTATAGGTCATTCATAGGAATTTAGGAGTAGATCCAATAGGTGATAAAATGAAAGAAAGTAGACTATGATGGTTTCACCATGTATATAGAAGACCATCAACAGCACCCATAAGAAAAAGTGATTTGTTATAAGTTGAATGGACTAGAAGGGTAAGAGGTAGACCAAAAAGGACATAGGTAGAAGTAATAAGAGATGATTTAAGCACCAATAATTTTAACAATGGATATGGCATTAAACAGAATGGACTGGCGAAACATGATTCATGTAGCCAACCCTATGACGATGAAAGTGTTGCGGGTTAATTACCTTGATATTTTAGGCATCAAGTGGTGCTCCTTAGTTGAGTCAATTTTTAGAAGGATAGTAGCCACTATAAACTCATGGTTCTCTGCTCACAAGTATGCAGGGAAGTATCCCCATCCCCTGCTTCTTTCTTTCCTTTTGAATCCTACCACAAGCTTTAATGATTTTTGCCTATGCATGGTATAGCCTAGCTCTAAATTTATAGTACTTAGTTGTACAGGAGCATACTTATACACACGTTTGGATTTTGGGTGATATCAATACAATTACATGTTACCATTTCAAAGAAAACTATAGATTCACTATAATGGTTTAAATTAATAAACTTTAAGTGCTTAACCTTAGGGTCCAAACAGTATCTGCCAAGTATATTATAATTTTTTATTAATAAGTATATTATAGGTTTTCAAACTGGATCCACAGCCCTGTTCACTTTTTCTCTCATCACCTTGCTAATGTTATGATGGCATAATAGTTTTCTCATCAGAGACTAAGACAAAACACATAATATTCTGAAAAGAAAGTATCAAGGTTCTAGATAGGTATAGTCCTAGAGTTTCTCCCAAGTCATCACATAAAACACCGGCTTTGCAAAAAGCTCCCAAGTAATGAGACAAGACACAATTTTTGTGAAAAAAAGAATTAAAAAAAAACATACCTTTTCAGTCATATATTTAAAAGTGACCTTCTTCTGTCCTGCTTCATATATATTGCACTGGGAGTATATCTGGTGCACAAAAAAGGCATTACATAATTTCACAATTATAGCAAAGATTTATATGCAGTACAAATATGTAAATTCTAAAGGTCTAAAGAAATCCATCCACACTCATTCCCTAGATAGTTGGTCATGTTTTAGTCAAATGAACAGCAGAGTTGCCAATCTAATCTGTCCATCTTCAAGCCAGTCCTTTGGATTGGACACATAGGTATATCTTGTCTGATCAACCCTGCTCCCTAGAAAGCAGTTAACTTTATCTCCATCAGTGACAGCAGTCAATTAGCTTTTTCTTTTCTTTTTTCTTTTGCTAAATAGATCAATAAGAGAAGAACTTTTTAAGTCATGTAATTTAGGTCATTGGGCTGGGGAAAGAAATGAGAATACATAAACTGCATTGGACATTGGACTGACACCTCTTTCTGCACATGTAATAAAAGAAGATCCATCTAAAGAAGTTCACATTCCAGAAAAATTCATAATAAGCCTGTGCCCATCATCAACTAAACAAATTCATAGGCGTATCAGTACCTGTGACTCCACGCTAGCACAAACAGCATAAATACCCCAATTCCTGGTGTAATTGTTGTATAAATGAACCTTTCCAAATCTAACACGAGGATGCCGCTGTCTGGTCCCATTGAAAAAGCAATGGTGAATGGTTACACGGATACATCTATCACCAGTATGAGTGGGATCTGCTCCAATAAGCATGGTCTTGTCATGCTGTGAAAAGTGACATCTGATGAAAGTCAAAGAATGTGATTCATAGATTATCAATCAACCATAGTCCACAAAAAAATATTCCTACTCGAGTAATATGCACAATCATCTCCTCACCTAGAGATAGTAATATCAGTGCTTTCTCGTGTAATATCAATCAGCCCATCATCATAATCACGCAAACTGCAGCGGTCTATCCATATGTGCCTTGACTTGGGTTTTATTTGAATACCATCAACATCGTGTCCTCTACCACCTTCAAACTCTAGATTGCATATGATCACATGTTCACATTCCTTCAGCCTAAGACCTTTTCCCGTGAGTTTTATCCTTTGGCCCCGGCCATCAATTGTCTTATAAGATGCTACACTCAGGTAAGATAAAAGTTGGATGGTGCCCGAAACTTGAAAAACAATCCAGAGTGGTTCTTTTCTGCGACAACCATCACGCAGTGATCCAGGACCATCATCTACAGGCAGGAGAAGGGGGAAGTTATTTTGGCAGAATATTGATAACAATAAGCAGGCATATCTTAACACAATTAATAGCATCTAAAACCAATTAACATGTCCTCCACAATGCCAGTGAATTGCCAATCCAAATCAAAATTGTAAGCTGAATGAGATGGTAAATTATGCACCGCTAGCGTTTTCTGAGGTTTTTCAACATATAACTTTTGAATCTGAAACCCTACTTTGGCAATTCTAGCAACAAAAGAGATAAATCCGCATGGAAGGTAGAAATAGATCCAAATTGTATTGATTGAGAAAATAATCAACTAAATCCACCAAAAACCACAGAAGGTTGGTCGGGGAGATCAAGTGTAATATGCCTCCATCCCATTTACCTATTTCTGTAAAAAGTTCGTTTAATCCAAAGCAGCAACAGCTAACTACCCAGGTTATAAGTTGCAACTTACTAAACACGCTTCCATACTGGATCTTTGTAAACAAACCGACACATGCACAGAAACCAATTCCACAGTTTTACATTGCGTACCTATCGCAAAGAAAGCTCTGGAATAAAACAAAATCGAGAGAGCTCGAAAAGGTCAAAAACAATAACCCAAATGAAATCCAACATATTCAGATGGAAAACCAGAGGCAATTGGCGTTCAACCAAAGCATCAGATTTGACAAATATGTTCAACCAAAATTATTCCGTCTTTAAACCGAGAAAGTTTAAAATGAAAGGAACGGAAATAAATAAATAAAAAGAAATGAGTGAACCTGCTAAAGTAGTGACATGATAAAGTGGTCCATGTAGACCGCCGATGGCGAATCGACCAAAACCCTCGGCCTGTCCGGCCAAAGCTCTCAAGCTGCAATCTACGTGAGCGTAAGGCAGCGAAGCCATATTCGTCGGAGCTGATGCAGTTGGGGTGGTATGGGCAGCTTGATTTGGCGGGGTATTATCTTTATTTTCAAAACCTGCAACGGCCGGCCTCCTCCTATCGGGAAAAGATCCGTTTATGCCGTTGCGACTATTGCGAAGCTTGGTCGAGCAACGCCCGTGGACGGTACCCATTAATTCCCAAATCGAGTAACCCCGATCGACGACTTATTGCTCTGCTCACACCTCACAGTTCAGTGAGAAAGTTGCTTGGACACGGTTTCGTTTCTCCCTCCACGCTCTCTTGCCTTGCTCAACTCCAACTTCTTTCATAACTCAGTCCGCAATTTACACGGGCTGGGTTTTACATTTTCGGTCCTCGGCTGGCCCTGGGCCCATGACTTCCATTCTTTTTTATTTGTTTTATTTTTTTCAGGTTGGGCCCGGGCCTAATCCTTAGTTAGCTTGAGTCCGGCCTAACTTTATTTTCACATAAAGTCAATCTCAGCATGGTCCGACCATATATAAATATATATATACATATCTACACGAATGTAAAATTTTAAAGTGGATTCATTGATCAAAGTGAGCTAAACTTGGGTCTGAACACAACCTTTTAAAGAAGATTGGGCCTGGATTGAGAAGATCGAGCTTAACCTCAAACATGGTTTAAACTTGGGCCTTATGCCCAAATCTTAGGGTTAGGCTTATGTTGATCATAACCCCAGGCCAGCCCACTCAACCTGCACCCCTAATAGGGCAATTTTCCCCTAAAAATTGGGACAGGGGGGGTTTTCCTAATCTTAAATGAGAATGGGACGGGACAGAAATTTTTTTTCTCCAAACCCAGGATGGGATCCACATATAATTACTCAAACTTGCCCCAAATCCAATAATAAATTATTAAAATATCCTTAGATTTAACTTTAATTTCTAAAATACTCTTAAATATATAATATGACTTGGAGTTCCCATAATTCCATCATTCTATAATCTCATTTCTAAAATACGATACAGGTTTGATGTATTTTTAGATAGTTGTTTCAAGGATTGAATCCTTGCCCTGCAACTAAGGATGAGGCAAGGAGCAGAGTAGGGGATTTTGTTTATGGAGTGTGGATGGGGTGGGGATTTCCCGCCCCATACCCACCCCATTGCCATTCCTAAGTAGAGTTAAATCGAGAAAGTTACAAGTTTTATACATTGTGTTATATGTGCCAAAATATTTTATATTTCGGATTTCCCAATGCTATTACCCACAATTGGTGATAGTGTTGTTTACTTTATAGATTTTATGGGAGATTACTCACTTGTCGTTGTCGGTCAGTGATGTTTTATTTTATTTATTTATTTTGCATTGTGGAATATCAGCAAGGTTTATAAGTCGTACATATGTCATTTTCAACTTCCCCCAAGTAATAAAGTTCCATCTAGAAATCATTCAAGGTCTTTTTTTTTAAATATTCTTTCGGTGCTCTCATTTTCGAAGTAATTGTTCCATTAGAGGAGGCCCCAGCCACCCTCGAAAATGTGAAGATGATAATGCTTCTCAAAGTTCAGTTAATTGAACTATAAATATATTTTGAAAATCAACTCGAATTAATCATCAACGTAAATTGTTGTTTCTCAAAACAAAAATATAAAAATGTGTTCTCGAATTATTCAACTTCATGTTGCATGAATCATATCAAGATCTCACATAAATTTGGTATTTGGATGAATATCGATTGATAGGTTAATTATCAATTATTTAGTAAACAATTCTGGAATCCGAACACAATTATGGTTTTTTCTTTTTAGAAGAAATTAAAGGACATAATTATGGTTCGCCTCAAACAGATTCTAACCTGCCTTAAAAAAAGGGGTTTTTTTACTCTTCAGTCTACTCGAAAAATCTTAATTCCACCATATAGTTGGGGTAGGTGCAAGCTCGGAATTGATGTTAATTTACAGTCAATATAGGTGTTGTAAGTGAAGGTATTTAATAATAATTCGGAGAAGTACAGACATGCTCAATGTAGATCTAATATATATATATATATATATATATATATATATATATATATATTAAAGGAAAGTTTTCAGGCTATAGGTCCTAACATTCAGACACGTGGCTTTTTCAAATTTAAACACATGACATTTTATGAGAAATTGCTTTAAAGCCCCACAGCCCACTATCACCATTCAAATAAGTGACGTTCTCATTTTCTAGAAAGCTAAATACAAGGCAATTTCTAAGAAAATCCTTCTAAAACCCACAACCCACTACCAGGCTATAGCCCCTCACCATTGAGACACATGGCCTTCTTATTTTTTTGAAAGCTAGACAAGTAGCATTTTCTAAGAAGTTGCTGTTAAAACCCACAACTCACTACCACTATTTTCAATCTATTCCTAAAAAATGCAAAAAATTCAAAAGTGGTTATCTCCACGACCACTTATGCCTACATTCTATCCATCTCAATTAATCATTAAACTTCTAAGTATTATAACAAAAGAAAAATATCTATATTCTAATAATTATTGAAAAGCTATTTTTTGAAATAAATATTTTTTAAAATTTTAATAATTATTTAAAATATTAATAAATATAAATTTAATATTATTGATTTCATAATATAAATTTAACATTACTAATTCCGGTAACTAGTACAGTAAAAGAACTCTAACCTGTATATTAAAAGAACCATTGATAAATAGGCCCACGTCCATTTTTTTTACTTTTAGTAGGAAATCCGGACTGGCCTCTTCCAAGCATCAATAGCCATCGTCCCGGTCCCATTTATGGCTTGCTGCGACTAGGTAATGAATAGCCACTCCCATTTATAAGTACACAACTGTGTGGTTTTTAATCTTTTTCAGGGTAAGGTAGGTTAGGGGAATTTTAAGTATTGATTGAACATGCTTACACCGTTGTACCTACCTGATCCGGACATCGAACCTGGTTATTGCTTATATAAGGTGGAGACGAACCCTCCTATATACATCTCAGCTCTTACTTGTCAAACTCTACCCCAGACCCCAGTACTCTTTCATGGAGGTGGTCACTGCGCTTTATGTACTCGTTTTTATCAATATTTTCTAGCTGCTTTGGAGGTTGATTGATCATCGGAGAGGACAAGGCTGCTATATACTTGATTATGAATGCTTTAAGCCTTCTGATGATAGGAAGCTGAGCGTCGAGTTCTGCCGCAAGTTTATCCTTCGCAGAAAGAATCTTAGCTTCGAGGATTTAAACTTTGTGCTGAAGTCCATTGTTAGTTCCGGCCGGCATCGGCGCCAAGACCTATGGACCGAGAAATATCCTGGAAGACCGAGCAGAAACTGCTACCCTTATGGACGAGATCTTGGAGATGGAGGAGTTCTTCTTTGACACACTCGAGAAGCTCTTCTACAGGACGGGAATATCTCCGTCGGAGGTCGACATACTGGTCGTCAACATATCCATGCTGGCTACGGAGCCAGATCTTGCATCAAGGATCGTCAATCACTATAAGATGAGGGAGGAGGTGAAGGTGTACAACTTATCGGGTATGGGGTGTAGTGCCAGCCTCATTTCCATCAATCTCGTCAAAACCATCTTCATGTCCTACAACCACAAGAAAGCAATTGCTGTGGTCGTGACGTCGGAGGCCATTGGCGCCCATTGGTACACGGGAAACGATAGGTCCATGCTTCTTACCAACTGTCTATTCCGATCGGGTGGGTGTTCAATACTGTTAACCAACGACCCCAGTCTAAGGAATCGAGCCATGTTTCGGTTGAGATGCCTGGTGACAACGCATCTCGGTGCCAACGACGAGGCCTATTGGTGCGGAATGCAGCAAGAAGATGAGTCTGGGAGAGGAGGGTTTTACCTGAGCAAGAACCTCCCGAAGGTGGCTACTAGAGCGTTAACAAAGAACCACAGCGTAATTGCACCCAAGATACTGCCCATAAGGGAACTACTCCGATACGTGGTACTACTGGTATCATCACGCCTACTTCCTCGACCCGACTTGGACAGCGGCTCCGCCACCGCCGGCAAGGGTGGACTAGTGAAAGCAGCAGCAGCAGCAGGTGTGAATTTGATCAAGAGCAGCGTCAAACATTTTTGCCTTCAGGCCTGTGGAAGGGCGGTTATCGATGGGGTGGGGAATAGCCTGGGGCTGACGGAGCATGATTTGGAGCCAGCAAGGATGGCACTTGGTCGGTTTGGTAACTTATCAGCCAGCAGCCCTTGGTACGTGCTGGCAAACATGGAGGCCAAGAAAAGGCTCAAGAGAGGGGATAGGATCCTAATGGTCAGCCTTGGAGGAGGTTTTATGTGCAATAGTTGCGTGTGGGAGGTTGTTAGGGAATTGGAGGGTGCTCATAACGTGTGGAATAACAAGGACTGCATTAATAATTATTATCCTCCCAGCAAAACCCGTTTATGAACGAGTTTGGTTGGATTATTAACAACGAGACGGAAGAGAGCTGTGATGATGCGTTAGAGAGTTACATGGCAAAGTATCAATGAGCACTTTGGATTAGAACTTCGCTCGTCATTGCTACGTAATGCTATTGCTAGCTTACTAGCTAGCTACCTGATGTTTATGCATGGCCTTAATTGTGGGTTTTCAATTTATTTTCATCCAACTCCTCCTCCTTTTTTGTTCATTATAAGCTTACTTTATTTTCCGTAACTAATTAGAATGGAAATTAAAAAGCAGGTTTTAATTAAGGGGGTGTTTGGAACCGTGGTCATTTTTCAAAAAGAATGGTATTATGTCAGATTCATATAGGTGTTTTAATAAATGTTTATATATTTCATTGTTTGGTTCAGCCGATTATTAAAAAATTGGGTATGCTTCAAAAACCGGGACCTCACCGATTTGCATCGGTGAACAATTTCCCCCAACGATTGATTGATGTGTATCTTATGTAGTACTTATATGGCAGCACATACATAAAAAAAGGTGATAAAATAATTTTACCAAACAGCGTAATATTACTCACTTCCTACGTGGCAGAAATATTTTTTTTTATGAAAAACAGGTCTTAAAACATAAACTTTTTTTCTTGAAAATCAATCCAAAAAGAACTCACGCTTCCAAACACCATGTAATGCATGCTAATTAATATATCCGCGGCCATTAATTAATTAATGCAAAACTACGCATTTTGTCAAGGACTTGGGGCCGGCCGGGTTGAATTAAAATGGAGCACCCCAGGTTTTAGACATGCATCGATGTTGATCATTTCGTCACTAGAGGCAAAACCACTTGGTGAGTTATTCTACCTGCCAGGCTGCCATAATCCTTCTGTTTGCTGGTCTTATTGTTAATTAATTTGCTGGTCTTATATATTATATCGATACGGTGAT